ATATATTTATTTATGTTAATATTTATTTATTTATTTATTTTTATTAGGAATATATATATTCATTTTGTATTGATTTATTTTATTATTTATTTTATGTTAATATAATATATGATAATATCAATCTAATAGAAAGCTCTAGAAGAGCGACTATATTATTATCTAAAGAGATAGATTTTGAAGGCTTTAGAAAAGCGATTATATCGAGGACTTGAAGAGATGAATTTTTGAAGCTCTAGAAGAATGAATAAATTATTACTTGAAGAGAAAATGTTTAAAGGCTCTCGAAGAGTCTATATATTATTACTTGAAATGACTAATTTAAAGGCTCCGGAAGAGCAAATATGCTATTATCCGAAAGGATAAATTTATTATGAATGATGTACTATTCTCTTCAAAATCTCATAGAAATTTATTGAGTTTCAAAGATATTCATTTGAATTAATATCATATCAAGATAGCAAATGTGAATACTTATATGTTATAATCATTATATCGGGTAGAAAATATCTATCAAAATAATTTATCTGTTTTCTCTTCTAATCTTTATTAAAAACATTGAAATGATTGAAACAAATATTGTAGTAAATAAGAAGTTTACTAATTCAAATACTTTTACTATGTGACATGACCAGTTGTATTATCTTGGGTCTTTTATGATGCGAAAAAATTATAAAAAAAATTATATGAATATCTATTAAAGAGCCAAAAGATTTTTCAATTTAATGAACTTTCATGTTCTCGTATGTTGCCAAAACAAATTGATGATTAAGCCATCATCAAGTAAAATTGAGATTGAATCTCCGGTATTTTAGAATGTATTCAAGGTGATATATATAGATCAATTCATCCACCATGTGGACCATTTAAATATTTTACGATTTTAATAAATGCATCCATAAGATGATCACATATATACTTATTATCTACTTGAGACTCGACGTTTTCGAGATTGGTAGCAAATAATTTGATTTCGAGCATAATTTTCAAATTATGTCATTAAAACAAGTCACCTTGATAATGCTTGATAAATTTATTTCTCGAGCATTAAATTATTATTGATTGGCTATTAAAATAAAGGTTGAACATCCTGTTGCTCATTTTCATTCTAAAAAAGGTTTAGCAAAATCATTTATCAAAAGGCTTCAATTGATAAAAAAGTTTAGCAAAATCATTTATCAAAAGGCTTCAATTAATAACTAAACCATTATTTAAAAATAAAACTCATTGTTTATGTTTAGGGACATGCAATCTTACATGCGAGTAACACTTATTCCCATATGACCCATAAGTTATCAAAAATTCTCTCCTCTTCGGTTGATTTACGTTCATGAGTCAAATATTTCTTATTTAAGAATTTTTTGGCATTGCAGTGTATATCCTTAGTGCTCCTTCATAAGGAAATAAAATGGACACTTAAAAGAGATTGAGAATATATATTGGATTTGAATCATTTTTTATAATTAAATATCTTGAATCATGAATAAGTGATATTTTTACAGCTTGATTTATCGACTATCATTTTGATTAAATAGTTTTTTCAACATCGGGAGGAGAGAATAAACAAAATAAGCAATTGGAAATATTGAAAAGAGAGATTACATAGAGCACTCTATCTTTATATCAATTTGGTATAAAACAATGTGAACTAGAAGTTCACGAGATAATTCATTTACAAGGTATTATAAACCAACTGCTAGATGTATTCTTATATCTTAAAAGAGTAAATAAAATGCATATCCTCGTTGAGAATGCTTATATTAGAATTGATGTCCTAGAAGGACAATTTATTAATATTATAGCTAACGAATTTAAAACACACTCGAATCATGGAAGACCGATCGGTTCTAAAGATAAAAATCCCTAAAAGAAAAGGACAAGATGAAAATATAAAGGATGTAAATATTCACAAAATGATCTAATATATTTCGATAATAGGCTTCAGAAGAAGTCCAAATGCTTGAGAAAAATCAAAAGATTTTGATAAATTATGTCAATATAGGGAGAAAATAGGACAGAAGAGAAATATTTATTGATAAGGTTTTTGTATGTAAAGTTACAATTGATATTTTGAATGAAAATGAAGATCCCGAGCCTAAATTATTGAAGAATGTTGATATAAAGATGATTGATCTAAATGAAAAAAACAATCTAGGCGAATTACTGTTCTCCTACAAATCTTTTGAACCCATAGCTAAAACACCTAAAGATGTTAAGCTGCTGGGATACAAATAAGTATTTATGCAATTATGAAATAAGAAAGATGAGATTGTACGATATAAAGCAAAACTTTTAACACAAGAGTTTTTGCAAAGAACCGGCATTGACTATGAGAAGACATATTCTTCTATAATGGATGCAATTATATTTTATTATCATTAGTATGAAAAAATATGTGAAAAACATTCATATGCATGTATTTAATGAATGTGATCATAATTTATTTTTTCATTTGAGATGAATCGGTATGAAAGTCCTCGAAGGACTTAACATGCCGAAGCATATAATATATATTCTCGAGATAAGAATTCAATTAAATAATAGAGATCTATATTAGGATTATTTTAGTATTTGTTTTATTATTTTAGTTTTTAGAAATTCAATTTATACTTTTTATATTTTATTTTTATATCTACTGTTTATTACTAACCCGTGTGCATGTGATATAATCACTTCAATGATTATTTGTTGAAAGAAAGTTATAAAAAATAACCATATTTATTCATATGTTTTTATTTGAAAAGGGGTTTGTTGTATATGTTGATAACTTAAATGTTATTGAAACTCTCGAAGAGATTCCAAGTATCATAAGTTACCTAAAAAGAGAATTTAATGTGAATATCATAGAAAAACAAAATGTTAGCTCGACCTACGGTTTGAGCACTCGGTGAATGAGATTTTCATTCATCGGTCAATTTATATAGAAAAAAGTTCTACAATAATTCTATATAAAGATCATTCATTGACTAGCCCAATGGTAGTTCATTCACTTGATATCCAAAAAGACCTTTTTCGACCTCGAGAAGATAATGAAGAACTACTTGGTCCCGAAGTACCATATTTTAGTGCCATCGATGCATTGATGTATCTTGCTAATAATACTCGACTCGATATAGTCTTTTCTATAAATTTGTTAGCAAGTCATGGTTCTCGTTTCAATATAGAGACATCGAAATAAAGTTAAATATATACTATGTTATCTTCGAGGAATAATTGATATAGGCTTATATTACTCAAATAAATCAAAGACAAGATTAATTAGTTATGCAAATGCGAGTTATTTATCCGATCTACACAAAGCTCGATCACAACTGGTTATATATTTACATATGGAGATCCAGCTATATCTTTGTGTTTTATAAAGCAAACTATAGTCGCCACATCTTCAAATCATGCGGAAATATCAATTCACGAGGCAAGTCGAGAATGTGTTTGGCTAAGATCAACGATCCATCGTATCCGAGAGACATGCAGTTTATCTACCAGCAAAAGAAGTTCTAATAATATCATATGAGGATAATGTTGCTTGCATAATTTCATTGAAGGAAGAATACATCAAGTGACAATCCAGTAGATTTATTCGCTAAAGCATTGCCTATCATAACTTTTGAGAAGATGATTCATCATATTGGAATGTGTCGTCTTAGAGATCTTAAATAATACCTTCAACAGGGGAGACCAAAATGAGGATTAATATATGCAAGGAATATTGTACTCTTTTTCCTTCACTAGGATTTTTTTCCTTCCGGGTTTTTTCCTAATAAGGTTTTAAGGAGGCATGTTCCTTGTACAATGGATATTTAAGGCGAAGTGTTATAAAATAATGAATGTCTATCATCATGTTCATCCACTTTTCATATCCCCCACTACTCATGATTTTTAATATGATTCAACTCATCATTCAATATGAGAAATTGAAAGGATGATGCAATTGATTATTCATAGTCCCTTCTAATTCTCTCTTCAATTTTGAAGCCTATAAATGGACTTGATTGTTCATTAGTTGGTGTACAAGTTTACTAGAGAGAATAAGAGAAACTTTGAAGTTCTTATCACTTATATTCACATTATAGTGATTTCATTTTCTTATCATCGTTTTCTTCAATTCTCTTATTATTTCTATTTACTTTATAACATTCTTCATCTTTTCCTTTTATAATGTTTATTATTCTTAAAAACTACAAGCATAGCATTGAAAAAGTTTGAGAAATTTAATGTCTTGAAAAAAAATAAAAACTAATTGCAGGTTGCCATTTGAACATGGTGCAACAAGCCAACCACATTCTTAAGAGATTAAAAAAAAGAAGTACAATTGATATTCCATTAAATTATAAATTAATCTTTCTCATTTTGACAAATGAACTAATTCATCTCTTTTTTTAAAAAAATAATTATTTAGTTTCTATATTTTTAAATTTTCTTATAATTTGATTTTTTAATTTATTCAATTTATTTTTATTTTTATTTTTATAAGTAGAAGAAAATAAATAAAACAATAGAAGACCGACGAAAAAAGATTATCTTATTTGAAATAAAATTAAATGTGATTAACATTAGTAAAGAAACTACATAATTAATTTTTAAAATAAAAGAAACTAATTAATTCGTTTTTTAATAGGAGGATTAATTTATTGTTTACTCTTGATGTTCTCAAAGAAGAAGAAGAAAAATGAGATTTAGGAGACCTGTCGTTTAGACTGCAATACCATAAAATGAAGGTCCTCTTTTTGTGCCGCGAAACAGAAATAAAAAGGAAAACCAGCAACAGCAGCAGCAGTTGCTTCACGATTATTTCACCCTCCTTTCTGAAATCCCATTCACAATCGCCCCATCAACTATTTCCTATTACCCCTCTCAAAATTCGAAATTCACTTTCTTTCCCTAATTTCTAAAATCCCCAATTTAAATTCTCTCTTTCTTTTCCCTCACAAAAACCCTAATTCTGCAAAGAATGCTTATTTTGTAGATGGGTTTTCGATTTCTAGGGTTCTCGACTTCAAAAAATGAGTGCTTTAACTAGTAACCACAAAAGAGACCACCCATGTAATAATGACAACCTATTTTCAAATTCTCGAGATTTTCACATATCTAAGCGGCCCAGATTCTCTAGTATGCACCAGACCCCTAAATACAACAACCAAACCCTAGGTTCCTCTAACAGTATTGCCTCTAGAATCTCTAGGTACCCAGAATCAGCTACAACGTTTCGGCGAGAGGTTCATGCCCCTTGTAGACTTCAGAAGTTTGCCTTGTCAAAGTTTAAAAGTAGTGATTTTAGTGAAAAGGAGAGAACTTTTGGTGATGCTGATCTAATGGGGAATTTCTTGAGTAAAAAGTTGGATTTTGCGAAACGAAGTGCCCTTGGTACGATTAGGCATTTGGTTAAAGAGAAAGAAGTGATTGATGTTGATAGTGAGAGTGAGAAGATAGAGAAAGAAATTGTGTCTGAGGATTCTAGTATTGAAGAAGTTGAGGTTATTGAAGAGGATGGAAGAGAGGGAGGGCCTACAGTTTTGGACCAGAGGTTGGGAAATGAGGTTGTGGGAAGTGAGAATGATGGTGATGTTAAAATTTTGGAGGAGAGATCAGTGGTTACCATTGATGGGAATTTAGGCCGGGAGAGTGCAGGGAAGATGTTGGGTTCATTGGCATTGAGTAATGAAGTTGAAGTTTTGAGTGTTGAGGCTTACAAGAAGTTGTTGGAGTATACAGAGAGGAGGAACGGGAGGTTGAGATCACTGGAGTTTGAGATTGAGTACAATGAGAAAAGGAGGGATTCGCTTAAGGCGTGGCGACCTGTGAAGAAGGAACCTGTGGAGGTGAGTTGTTCTCTCTGTTTTTATTGAACTTGAGTTTGGGCTCTTCATACATTGTTTTTTTTAGCAAGGTCGAGTAGTGTCTCCTTCTTTTAATTACGGTAGAAGTATCTTTCTCAGTATGGATGTTTTTGTTTTTGTTAATGAAGTGTTGTTCTACTGGCGAAAAAATGATTTGGAAGAGTGTTTATTTTTGTTTTTATTTTATTAAAAGTGTGTTAATTGATTTTCAGGGGATACCTCGTGAGCCTTTTATCCCTGTCACACCTGAGGAAGAAGCTGAGGTTAAGCAAGCATTTTTGCCTAACAATAGGTATATTTGATCAATATTTCCTTCTGATTTTTGAGTTGTTGATATTGCTGTTATAACATCATCTTGTTCATTCGTGCAGGAGGAGGGTCTTGGTTAGTCACAATAATTCCAATATTGATATTACTGGACAAACTTTGCACTGTCTTGCACCAGGAGCATGGTTGAATGATGAGGTGATGTTTTTGGATTATAGTTTTTCCTATAGTTGTTCTAAGCAATGTGTTTTCCCACTTTTTTGTAGTTTGAAGTGGAATGGTTCATTCATATACTCCAAATGCAATGGTACTGGGGATTACTTATTTTATATGGTTTTGTTGATATGTTTGCCTTGTCTTCTTTTTGCAGGTCATAAATTTGTACATGGAGTTGCTTAAAGAAAGGGAAAAGAGAGAGCCAAAGAAGTTCTTGAAATGTCATTTCTTCAACACTTTCTTTTACAAAAAGGTTTGTGACTTTACTTCCTGTCCTTCAATCTTGTTAAACGCGAGTCTCACTGTAATGCATTGAAATATCAAAAATAGCGCTCTTGGCAGCTATGGTTTAATTTTCTTGATAGTTAGTGAAGTTTGAGATGTCATTTCAAGTCCGTACCTCTACTTCTATGTTTCCCATTTACGTTGTTCATCTTTTTAATATCACTACTCATTCTCAATGTAAATAACTGATTCTGATTCCAAGTTTTTGCAGTTGGCAACAGGTAGAAAAAGATGTTAATTCCCAAAGCTCATCCCCACAACAACCCAACCCACACCCACCACCCCCCCCCCCCCAACAAACAAAAAAAAAAAAAAGGAGAAATTCTTTGAATAAAGCTGTTCACTTTAACTTGTTACTGCTTTCATCTCATGCCGATTGTATATGTTGCTATTTTGCTTCTAATTATTTGTGGCTAATTGTGTTTGTTGTGTTTTGAATGTGATTTTCTTTTGTTCAAGCTCTGAATATAACCTCAATGTTAATGTCCAGTTAGCAGGTGGAGGTAAGGGTGGCTATGATTATAGAGCTGTCAAAAGATGGACCACAGAAAAAAAGCTGGGATATTTCTTGATTGACTGTGACAAAGTAAAACAATGCAAATTCCTTCCATTTTTTTGAGTACTTGTTTTTGTCTGCAGTAAGTTATTCTCATTTTTTGCTTTTGTGGTCAGATATTTGTCCCTGTTCACCAAGAGATACATTGGTGTTTGGCAATTATTAACAAAAAGGATCAGAAGTTCCAATATCTCGATTCACTCAAAGGAAGGGACTACAGAGTTCTTGAACGTTTGGTATGTTTTGTTTTGTTGTGTACATATTCATATATTTAGAGGCATGCCACTAACTAGTTCAAGGGACATTTTAGCCAAAGCATCTATCTCTTTATTTTTAAGTGACAAGGTTCCATTGAGATTTCCTTCATTTGATTGTCCTAATGACTACTTTAGAAACTAATGGACCATTAATTGCAGCCATTTGTATTCTTGATAAAAGCCTGTCCTCACAACCAAACTCATAATTTTGGAAGCCTGAAGCTTAAAAAGTTGGATTACATAATGAAAGATATAGATTCTGCTCTTTATACCTTCCAATTTTCCCAGAGTGCATAGCAGATGCTTGCTTGATCCAACTATATATAGACAGCTTCTAATGTTGGGATGAGGGGTTTTATATTAGAAGTACTAATTGATGTATACATATTGTTTCTATGTCATATTTAATGCTATTAAATCAGTGATCTTCTGAAAGCTGGTTATGTTTTGGAACTGGTATCATTGTTTTGCAGAATTTACTCCCTCAAGTTTAATTGATGACACAAAGGTTTTTCCTTTGATTAAATTCTTGAGAAGTTTGCTAATTAAGGATTTATAAGAAAGATAAGTGTATTGAGGAATGTGGGATTGCGCATGTACAGATCATATCCAAGGGGTCTTTGATCTCCTGATAGCTGGTTAGGTTTTGGAGCTGGTATAATTGTTTGCAAAATTTACTCTTTCAAGTCTAGTTGATGTCAAAAAGGTTTTTCCTTTGATTTATACTCGGATTAAATTCTTGCGAAGTTCGTAAATTAAGGGTCTGTAAGAAAGATAATTTATTTAAGGTTTGTGGGTTTGCTTGTGTATGCTAATGGATTATAAGGTGAAGGTTGCAAATCTTAAATTTTATCCCTGAAACAGGTTTGGTGTTGTAGTATTAAGATGGTTTTATCTTTTATTCAAGAAATTTGCTTCGTGTATCTTTGATCTTGCACTTCAGTGGCTCCAAATCTTTATGCTTATTGCTGTGTTGTTGCAAAACTGATAAAAGAGGAAAAAATGAAAAATATATGGGGAAGTGCTCAACTAGAATATTTACTCAAAACTTCTCAATACTTGGCTGATGTTTATTGATGTGTACCAGGCTAAATACTATACTGAAGAAGTGAGAGACAAGAGTAAGAAAGACATTGATGTAAGTAATTGGGAGCATGAATTTGTTGAAGACCTTCCTGAACAGGAGAATGGGTGTGTATTCTTTGTTCTTATGTATTAATCTTCTTTTGGAATCAAGTGCCTGGTATTTTTCCTCAGTTACCAGTTATAAAGAAAAAAAGCTTCTCTGTTGGAGCTTGTTAAGAGGGTCCGAAAGAAGTACTTTGTTAGAAGCATAGCTTCTACATCAAAGAATGAATCATAAAAGAAATATAACTTCAGCTCAACTAAACCTCAGCGGCAAACTAGTTGGGGTCAGCTGAATGGACCGGCCTTTACTATTCAGTTCTATCATGATCCTGTGAACTAAATTATTTTTGTGAGCTGTTGTGATGTTATTTGAATAAATGAAAGAAATCTCTGTAAAATCAGCTCTACAGTCAGTTGATTCTACTTGTCAGTGGGTTATCTGCCTGAAAAAGTGGTTGTGGAAAGAGTCAAAATAAGCTTAACATGCCTGAACATGGATGTAACATATTGTTCTCTTTCTCTCTTGACCTGTCTTAAATGCTACAGTTTCCCCTATCTAATGTAATATGATTTGGCTTAAAAGTTTAGGATGCGGTTTCTTATTCCTGACCCATATTCATTGATACTATTGGTTCTAGTGGATTATGACTCGATTTTTACTGTAGTGTCGAGGAAACAAATAGGCATGTCTGGTGAATGCTTACTCAGTATTTAGAATCTCAATTTTCTACTTTGTCTGAGTTTATATATATATATATTTTCCTGTCATGCTTTAACTGTTTTGAAGAAACCATGTAACAAATTTACACTGGGGCTACTTTCAGTGCTTGGCTGTTGAGGTGCTCAAGTTCACTTAGCCGTCTATTATTTTTTATGATGTGACTGTTTTTTAAGGGTTTAATCAAGGAACCAGAATATTTTCCTTAATTACGGTGCATGTGTAGCTTCAACCTGTTTGTGTGGGCTTTCCCAATTCAATTCTGCTGAATACCTTAATCCACAATAAGTTTTTACTATCAACTGTTCAAGAGTATTCCCAATATTTACATCGTTTCTATATAAACAGGTATGACTGTGGCGTATTTATGATCAAATATGCTGATTTTTATAGCAGAGGGGTAGGACTTTGTTTCGGCCAGGTAAGATGATTATGCATTTGGCTATGCTGATATATTTCTTTTGTATTGAAAGATTTGCTAAGGTTCCTAGTTTATAGTCATTGACCTGCATTAGTTGAAGATTGGAAATATGGATTTTGAAAGCCCATCCACCTGTCATGGATAAGCTGACTTTGATGGCTTCTATTTCTCCAATGGCCTAATTGTAGTGAATATCATCACTTCATGTTTGTTCAAGGCTTCAAGCCAATGAACCGGCTTTTTGACTTGTCAATAGGGGACCGGTAATTGTTGTAACCTTTGAACTCAAATCTATATTTCTTTTCTTTGTAGGAGCATATGCCCTATTTTCGGTTGAGGACAGCTAAGGAAATTCTGAGATTGAAAGCTGACTGATTGGAAGTGTAAATGTGCTGCCAAGGAGTAACATTTATCCATTATTTTGTATTAGTGATTCTGCAAGGAGCAGATCTGCCGTATTAGACAGATGATTATAAATTACCTGTGCCTTACTTGTGAATAAGGGGGGTCCTTCAGCCTTTGTCAAAGTGTCGATGTGGTAGCAGTCCAGTTTACCCTGTTGGTATCCGGATTAAAGCTTATTCCTTATGCAATGACCTATATATTGACACTGAACAAGGCAGGATCAGTGGCTGGTAAATACTCTCTCTATATGGGTACAAGCTGAGTTGTGAGATTTTTTTTGGAAGAGTTGATGTAGGAGATGTCAGGGTTTTGTAATTTTCAGAACTGAATGAGGTTTTTGCTTGTTTCCTCACTCCCTCGTGTTATTTAATCTACTTGTTTAATTCATTCATCCTTGTTATTTTCGTCAACTCTGGGTCGGTTCATAATTGTAATATGATAAAATTCCTGCGTTTTGGGAAGAGAGATACATTGTTTAGGTTTTCTGTCTGTGTTTCATTGGAAAATTGGTCACTGTCATCCGTTGCTCTAGTTTATTTCTTTACATGCGTTATTGCCTGTTAATGCTGCAGCCGCAGTGCCATCATAGAAGTGTATCCTTTTTCTATTCTATACCTAAAAAGAAATTTAACTCCACAACTTGACTCACGATTGAGACTAAACTAGTGTAGCTTATAGCTCAAAATTCTCTCTTCTTATTAACGTTTATCTGGCAATCTTGAGTTAGCCCAAGGAGCAATTCGTATAGGAATTGGAAGATAAGTACTTGAAGAAAACCAAGGACTTATGCAGTACAGACCCTATTTCAACCCCTTTTTTTCCTCCGTTCTTTTTCCTTTTAATTTCCCGAAATAATCATGTACTCCAGTTACCTTGAACAACATTCCAAGCCATAAACCCATACATGTCATCGGACTCATCTACACAATTCATTTAACACACCCATTAACAGCAATGGACGTGAAACCCCGCCACCACCAACAGCCATTAGTCTGGATGTCTACAGCAACATTAGTCCAGTCGCATCTGATCCTGACAAAAGCCAAACACCATTCCCCACTTGCTGACTGCAAGAATCACATTTGAGTTTATGAAAGGGAATTATATACAGGTAATTGAAATCATATCTCCTTTGCAGGGAGCCAATTCTATTGAATGAACAAGGACAAAATCATATTGCAGTAAAATACATGATCAGATTAGAAATTACAAGACGGGAGGATGCCTAAGTGTTGCAGGCAAAGAAAGTGCTGCATTAACGAGGAACTCTCTTCCGACTAAGTATCTCTTGTTCTTTTAGTCGATGCTGGAACCTAGCAAGGCGTGCTTGGAGGCTAACCAGGCCAGCTGCCTTGCGCGAGAGCACAAAGCTCAACTGGGTCACATAGTTGTCAATAAGACTGCCAGGTTGGTCAACCTCTCCCAACAGTTTCATTTCCTGGCGCACCCAAAGCCACACAACATTAGCACACAGATGGTAACCATGCAATTAAAACATAAGGATTACTTCTGAAATGCCAACCCAAATCCCCACTGCCCAACCCAGAAAAAGAAAAGACAAGAAACAAGAAGAAAGAAACACCCCAAGTTATCACAAAGCAAGTTAAAACATGTTTCAGAATTTAAGCAAGTGGATAGGCATTGACTTACTTCACGTACAATCTCCATTGTATCCTCTATTTCTTTTCTATGGGCAGCAATTAGGGCCTCTTCTTCCTAGAAAATCCCAACAAGAAGATAAATTAAGGGCATAACAAACTTCTACAAAGACTACACAAAAATAGTAAAAATGCCAAATGTATTACCAACCTCAAGTATTGCATTTATATTCCCATCGGGAGGAGGATCCGGTTCGTACTGTCGTGAACCAGTGTTACTTGCACTGTAGTTTCCTGTATTCTGCGGCTTTGAATTTGCAGTGGGGAGATCAGATCCACTGCCATCTTTTTTCATCCAGTTTCCCAATTTTTCCGATTTTTCCTCCCTAGATCCTTTTCTGGAGGGCAGTGACACCTTCAGCACTTTCTCTTCTGTATCAACTGAGTGTTGGGTGTACGATGAATGGACTTTTTGACTTGTCAAACCACCAAAGGAACTGCTACTTTCAAACCTCTCCCTGTCTGCTAAGCCAGAAGCCAACCCACTCTCTTCTCGCCCATTTAAGGGAAAACCTGATGCAAAACTTGACTGTTTATCATAATCAACATTAGGATTGTAAGATGAAGTTTCTTTTTCTATAACCCTTCTACCCATATCTGGCACTTTGACCTCTTGTTGCTCATAAACATCATCAACGTCAACAGTGACCAGCGGAGGTGATGTAGAGGAGGCATCCTTATTAGTTGGCGGTAATGAACTTACAGCCTGATCCTTTTTTGCATTTCCACTTTTAGAAAGACTTTTAACCCTGTTCATTTAAATACGCATGCTTTATCATCAAAGGTGAAGACGAGATCACTGCAACTATATTTCAGTTGAAGCTATAGGAACACACTTACCTATCTGCATATCTCAATGTATTTAGTGTATGTTCACATGAGCCGGCATTTGGAGAAATGCAAGAGATCATAACTGTCCTAGAGTTGCCCACAAAGGAATCACGGAGCACTTCTGTGAGTTTGCTCCCACGGAATGGTATATGGATCTGGTCATTGTCCAAAGCACGAATGCACTCCTTAAGAGCCAGAAGGCTCTTGTTGATTTCTGCACCTTCAATCCTGCAAAGAACCAAATAGTGCCTCAGGAAGTGAAAAACTAGCTTGCCTTACAACAACCAATTCAAAGACCTAGTGATTGTTGAACTACCAAAGCAGGCAAGATAACTTCTTGCAATGAGAGATATTCATAATTAGCCACCACAAGTATGGACATCAGGCAAGATGACAGTGCCAATCTAGTTTATTAAGTTTTATGTAACACCTGGAGAATGAAATCATGGGTACAGAACTGACAAGTTTTGGTGCCAGGGGAAAAAAATGCACAAGATTCAGAAAAGTCTTAAGGTGGATCTCTTACTAAATCTTTAAATCACAATGCCAATCTAGTTTATGAAGTTTTATGTAGCATCTGGAGAATGAACCCATGGGCACAGAACTGACATTGCTAGTTTTGGTGCCAGAAAAAAGGAAAAAAAAACATGCACAAGATTCGCTACCAGTATTCATCACAAAACCCAAACCCATTCAATAGTTAAAAACTGACTGACAGAGGTGCAGGAAGAATGGGAAGATCTTTTAAAATATTCATTCTAGAAAATTTAGAAATTTTATTAATTTCTTATGTAGTAAATTCGTTTACTTTTCCAGCCTCTGCGTTTTTCAAAGGTTTCAAATGTAGGGAGAAGCTTAGCTATGACACTCCCCACGCACGAGGAGCACCAGCTAAATAGTACTTAAAGGAAGGAAGGCAGGGAAAGAAAAGAGCGGGAACAACACCCAAATAGCATAAATCTTGAAGGTTTCTTCTGCACATTAACTTTACCAAACATGTCATAATAAGCGATTACTGTTTAGCATCTCTTCCATAGAAACTAGTATTTTTCTGTTCCACAAACTGGAAAGAGAAAATCAGAGGAAACCCGCCCCAATGGCACACTAGTCATGCAGCAAAAACAGGCCTTGATGTTGTTTATGAACTAATCACCAGATCGTATTTGATCACCATGAAATCCAGTAAACAGATTCTTACAAACTCAACCACCAGAGTAGAGTTAGTAATTGCCAAAAATCAGAGTAACAAGCTTGCAGTTAAAACAAAAGAAGAAATAGGAGTGTAGTGCAGATAAGGGTACCTTGTTTGCCGGTCATTGTCAGTGGTGTCTGCGCCTCGTTCGCTACCAGCAAGATCAATGAATGAAATTTTACCAACCACTTTTGCACTTTTAGACTCATTCAGATCATTGTTCCTCCTGGAGTCTTTTACTTCACTGTGCTTCTTGACAACAAGTTGTAAAATAGCATGTGACCTTGAAGATTCCTCATTGGCACCAGTAGATCCTGTACTTCTGGAAGCATTCCCCCTCTCAATATATTCCTTAACAATTTGTACATCAGAAACTTCAAATTCTTGCAGTCCAACAATGCAAACTTGTTGCCGACCATCTTCTCTCATACAAAGTTTCCTAATTGAGAAGAATAATGTCATTCAGCATGTGGTTGAACTCTTTAACCATTCACAGTTAAAGACTTTTACATAGATGAACAAACACATTAAAATGGTTCTAAAACATACAGCAAAGATAATGCATGTTTGACAAGGGACAATGCTTCTTCTATGGTTACTTCACTTAACTGAAGTTGCTAAGCTAGCTGAAACTAAAAAGTAAAAGAGTTAAATTACACTGCAAATGAATCTTATAGAATGATTATTTTTTTTAAAAAAAAATCCATTTTATTACATCTTATGCCCCAACCACATCAGATTATAAAAGGACCACTTTTAAGTCACCATAGCAAGCACCCAAGGAACACACAGTGCACGTGAGGAATGATATCAGCAGAGATTTCAGAGTCTTCTTTACCCCATTACGAACTGAATCTATTTGATAGCTACCTAAGCTCTAAAGACACAATTTTTAAGAAGCAAAATGAAATAAACCAACAAGAAACAAGGAAATACTAACTTTCTTTCACTGAGAAGATCAAAGAGTTTTCCACCATATATTTCAAAAAAGCTAAGCCACAATTTGAATCTCTGATTACGATAAACTGGCTGATGCAGCAATCTAACAAGATCACCAGCAGCTCTAAGAGGCAGCGGCTGCATTGTGAACGTCTTACCACTACCTGAGATAAAAAATGGCATCAGGATTTCAGTTATCCACAACAGTTTGAGCTAAACTTAGCTTCAGAAATAGGCAACATCTATGAAAAGAGAACTTCAAAGTAAAAATAAGAAATGGATCAACATCCCCCTCCAAACCATTCCACCTCAAAAGGAAACCAAAACAAATATGCAGGAGATGAAAACAA